AAGAGAGACCAATAGCCACAACAGTAGGTAGTAGCCCAATGGTTAACAATTATTTTTTAAGTGTAAAAAGAAGAACTACAACAAATATGTATATTTTAAAAATGTCTGTATTCTAAAAACATGCATGAACATACTCAAATATCAGTTTGACTTGAATATGATTTTCATTATAAATAAAACAAAAAAATGGAAATCAAAATTTCCTAAAGATGGGAAAGAGATTGTCCTTAGTTTGAACTGAAAAAAAGAACTCATACAATGACTAGACAAATATTATATGAAAGAAACCAAACACAGGTTGTTAAATGTTTGATTTTTACTTACAATTTGTATATACATATAGTAGTAAATGTAAAGACCATTAATCCAAGACTTAATGCTCAAGTAATTTTGAGGCCTAAAGCCTGAGTGAAAAAAGAGCCTTTTAAATCAATGTTAAATAAGAAAAAAAATATGAAGAAATTGACGAGTGCGTCTAACTGCCGCCACCGCCATTAAATTATAATCACAATTATTACTGGACTAATGATGATGAGCCACAACAAGTAATATTGATAAGTGTGTATTCAGAAAAAACACAAAATCCCGATGAAACTTTGATAAAAAACTTTACAAAGCCTACAAATACTTAAGAGAGTTTTAGATTTTTTATTTAAAAGCCAAGAAAAGTAAGCGCTTCTGTTTCTTTTTTTTTTTTCTTGCTTTCTTGTTTTATCCCCTCATTTTGAAATTAATGTTGGAATCAATGAGTTATTGTGTCGATGTCTTCACAAAGCAAAAAAACCTAGAGTATACAAACTGAAGATGAGTTTTGAGGAAAAACTTAACTCAATAAACACCAACTCATCTCGAGTTGTTTCATTTTAGATACCAGAGTCATACAATACATCAAAGTGAACTGCTTGAAATATGCGAAGTTTCTCTTGGGCTTTTTACAGTTTGTTAAGCTTTTGCAGGAGTCATTTGGTGTTGTTTTTTTTTATTTGGTCTGCTGATGCCACTATTTAAAGATCATGATATGTTTTCTTGCTGCTTAATAATTGCGCAATATCAGGTCGTTGTGAATTGCACAGTGGGTTTGGTAAAGTTATTAGAAGTGTACATATCTAGGGGTAGATCCCAAGCTAGAAAATTGCCATATTACTTTCCTAAGTTCTGTCATAAAGAATTCACTGAACATACCTACTTGCCATTTTGACAGTTTTGATAATTCTATTTAATGCGCGCTTTAAAAAGTTTGACTTCTTTAAGTCGTATTCTCGTTGTGAAGTGAAGAAATGTGGCGCTTAGGATCACATGTAATTGGTTGATCTTTCAAATTGATAATGGTGAAGTGGTTAACTGTCTAAGTTGCCCGAGAAATACGCAAATTTTTAGAACTTTTTGAACTATTGACTATTTATAACTAGAAAGAACAGTCATTCCAAGTTGTATTCTAGCAAATGTGATGCTTAGGATTACTAGTAATTTATTGATCTGTCAAATTGATCATGGTGATGTGTTGACTATCACAGTTGTCTGAGAAGTATTCAAACTCTTACAACTCTTAAAGCTGTTTAAAATTGATTACGAAAACAGCAAATATTGCAATCACACCGCTGAATATTGGGGGTTCTGTTAATTGGAGAATCATTTTTACTGTGTGGGTGTCTTTCGTGAAACAAAATTTTAGACTGTATGATCGAACAAGCGGTTTCTGCAGTACAAAGAGGTTTTCATTTAATGATTTCTATATAATTTCAAATTGATTCCAATATATGCGACTCCTCCGGACACCACAGTAGCAGGGTAGATGAACTTTCGTACTCTAGTAACTACTTCCAATAGTTAGCGTGAAACATAGTCCCATCAAGGTCCACGATTTGATGAAAGTTATGAAGTCTTTGTGCCTTTGTTTTAAAACCAACCTTTTATTAGGACTTTCCCCAGTTTATATGACAAAATCCCAACAACTGAATCAATTTTATTTCGGTTGATGAGTGAACTTCTGGTCGTCCAAATTTGATTCCTAAAGATTACAAACTGAAGACTATTTCCGAGAGAATGGCCTCCAAAACAAACCATTCAGCAGGACTTTCACCAGTTTATAAGACAAAATCCAAAGAATTGAACCAACTTTATTTCGAGTGATTATAGAAACAATTGAACCAATTTTATTTCGTGTGATGATTGAACTTCTGGTCGTTCAAATTCTATTCCTTAAGATTACAAATTGAAGACTATTTTCGGGAGAATGGTCTCCTAAACAAACCATTCAGCGGGACTTTCACCAGTTTATAAGACAAAATACCAAGAATTGAATCAATTTTATCTCGATGATGATGATACAACAATTAAATCAATTTTATATCGGGTGACGATTGAACTTCTCGAATTTTGTCGAAATTTGATTCCTTAACTGAAAATTATTTTCGAGAGAATGGCCTCTAAGCGAACCTTTCAGTATGTCTCAGCCCCAGTTTATAAGACAAAATCCTAAGAATTAAATCAACTTTATTTCGAGGGATATTAGAACCACTGGTCGTCTAAATTTGATTCCTTAAGATTACAAACTGAAGACTATTTTCAAGATAATGACTTCCAATATTAGGCACCCAAATTTGAAATCTTTAAAGCAAGTATTTATCTAACTGGTGAACAATGTTTTTACGGACTTAGTGCATACAGCGATGGACAGTTTCCTTGGTTATCCTGGATGGAATGACCAATGTCTTTTAGGTTCACTTCCATTTACACTTTTGACTTAATAGACAGCATTCTCTCTTCTTTAAAAAGTCAAGCAAAATCAAGCCTGATCTGACTGGATCTGTGGTTAAATTCCATTTTTGTTCACTTTGTTGGAAAACAAACCATGAAGCTTTTAGCGCGATTCATCATTAGATCATAAAACAATTCAAAAGAATTTTCCTAATTTAACTTCGTTTAGTGCTTAACCATCTGCCAGAAGATCAGATTTGAATCCTTTAGGTTACAAACTGAAGATTATTTTCGATAGCATGTCCTACACGATTCAACAACCAAATTTGGAATGTTTAAAGCACGCCCTTATCGAGGAAGTTGCCCATTTTCTTACGGATTTGATTCTTAAGGCAATGGACAATTTTCGCGCCAGATTTTTTCTATTTTTTTCCTCTTCTTCTCTTTCTAAAAGTTCATATCATGCAACGGCATGCAAGTAAACACGGATCATTACTTCTATGGAAACTTTTGGGAATTGGGGTCAAATTTTATCTTTCTAAAAGTACTTTCATGTGTTATTACGACTAATTTCGAGAGGCTTGTCCTGCGCTAATCAACACTTAAGAAATTTGAAATCGGAAAAGTGGACCTTTATACAGTTATTGAGGAATTTTCTTATGGTTTACATGCGTAATGCAATAGATGGTTATCGAGTCAGATTTTGGGCATTACGGAACTTCAAGTTATTCCTCTTCGATAAATCAAGTAAAATCATGCAACGACATTTAAGTGAAAGCATTTTAAAGACATTTTATTAAGCTTTGGTGAAAACATATTTATTAAGAAAAATTCTTAAAAAAAAATCTTGATGATTTGGTTGAAAACCCACAGTAACTTTACGTCACGGTTGCTGCCACTTGCTAACATTTTGGCAAAGAAGAGTTGCAGAGAAACTTTACTTGCTACTAATATTTTCTGCCTTGTCATTTACACACTTAATGGATCTTCACTAAAACTAAATTTTTTTCTTTGTTTTCTGGCAAAATTGTTGTATTTTAACTGCATACAATGCTACTTTTAACATGGGAAAGTTTATATGAAAACCCAAAAACAAAATAAACAAAAAAAGAGAAAAATAAATTTTCATAAAAAATGTTAAAGCTACCAGAACAAAAAAACTAAACTCTTTTAAAGATCTCTAACAAACAAGAAAGTTCCAGGAATATATTTATATATAAAAAAAACTATATATAAAAAACATGTTACAGCATTCCTAGCGGTCATTTTATTCATGTGGCTAAAATACTAGAAGACCACAATTGTAATTGTAAACTCTTGTAGTAAAATTTCTACAACCTAAGGCCAGGTAAGGTCTAAAAATGAAGAGGAAGTAAACAGAAATAGAGGTCTTGTTAAAACTTTAATAAAGTGTGCGTATATACGTCATCATTACTAACAAAAACAATAAAAACAGCGTATAAAGTCATAGTCAGTCGTTGTAGTAGTAGTAGTTAGTCAGTTATTGCTATCAAATGGCGGCTTCGGTATAAGATCAATGAAATGGAAAGACTTAAAAGACATCATACCACATCACAACAGCAGCGCAACACAGCGGCATAATGTTTGCATTTCAAACAGGCCAAATGAATGGATCAGCCAACAAATGTATGAACGAATGTTCTTACCAACTATACTATACTACAACCACAATTGTTTGTTAGCAGTTGCTATTAAAATCATCTATACAATACATTCACATACAAAAAAACTACCAGAGAGAGAGAAATGCAAATGTTTTAAATCGTTTTGACTTGATTTAGAGGTTGTAATGACTTGGCTAAAGGTATCAGTTTTCACGTTATAAGTTAATGATATCCGGTTACAGCAACAACTACAATCTAAACCATAACAAGTTAAGCAGTAAATATGTCTCTAAGATTTACACAAAAAAAACTGAATTGTTAAATTAATATGAAAAAAATATTGTAACAATTGAAACCGTCAGTTGTTTGTACGTTAGACACAGGCACTGTGTGTGTTTAATAAACCAAGTATCAAAAGCTAAAACCACACACAATTCCAAACAAACTATAATGTGGTTTATTTACTATATTTTTTTTTCTTATAATTATCAGCATTATTACTTATTTATTGCGAGTATTACTATTTTTTAATAACTTTTTTTTTACACATTTTACAACATTACAAAGTTTTTGCTCTGTTCATTATTACAAACTCACAAAAAAAAACACTTGTCCACCTTGTGTTTTTATTGTGGCTGTGAGTTAATACATATTATCTGTTACTAGTTATAAACTTACCTATTTTTCGCCGCCGCTGCTCGATCTCTTTGTCTTCGATTTTTAAACCAATTACCCACTTGTGTTGGATTTAAACCCGTCGCTTTGGCTAATTCTCGTTTTTTCGTTGGATTCGGATAGGGATCTTGTAGGTACCATTCACGCAATAAACTTCTTGTACGTTCTTTAAAACAGTGCGTTTTCTGTTCACCATCCCAGATGGTGGGCGGCAGGGGAAATTTTTTACGTACACGATATTTATCGACGGGACCTGAAAAAATGTTAAAAGAAATTCAAGTTTTAGGAAAAAATTTTGTAAAGCAATTTAGAGAAATTATTGAAATTATGACCCATAAATCTGATTTTTACGAACAATTTTGAAATATTTTTGATCTTTGCCCTAAAAGAGGGTTTCAAATATATTGTTTGCCAATTATAGTTATCAGAAGTCAACTTATAAGATAACATGAGCACAAATGTGGAAAGAATGAAGTGCTTTATATGACACCCATATTTGGAATCCCTAAAATAAGTCCTTATGCGGGCTATCGATAAGTTTTGTCGGATTTTTGCTCATCTTCGTTATTTATGGACGGATTTTGCTGATTTTAACTAAGAAAATTATCGAAAGCATGTCTGATAGAATTATTAAAGATTAGGATCCCAAAGTTATCTGGGGTTTACAGAAAATTGATTTCAGCAGACATACAGACGGAGAGACACACGGACATGACTTAATCGACTTACGATTTATGCTTACGATATATACTTTATAGGGTCGCAAAATTATATTGTGGAAATTATAAACAGAATGACAAACTTATGATTCAAGATTTTGTAGGTTCCCTTTCTTTTGCACTCAGCTTTGCGCTAGCTTTTAACGCCAAATCGGAACATCTTCCCCAATTATATTTCTTGTCATAAATTACCCTCTCTTAGTCCAGATTTGAATTCTCTAGTGTACAAACTCAAGAATATTTTTAAAGACATGATATGCAGTATTAGAAACCCAAATTTGAAAGCCCTAAAGCCAGACCTTATCTGGATTTTTCACAATTTTCTTATGGACTTGGTGCATATTGCAAAATGCAATTGTAGTGTCAGTTTTTGATTGTTGTGAAAGGAAATATGATTCAAGTTTTTTAGGAAATTCTCTTTCATTACCCCTCTGGACTTAATACAAAACTAAACAAATTGAAAAACCTCAATCTTTATGGAAATATTTGAGATCTGGTCACAGATTTCTTTTTCCTAAAAGTTCTTTGAAGACTTGGATTAAATGTTCTAGTCGTTAAATACAATTTGTCTATAGAAGTTGTTGGTGTATTGAGGAAGCGCTGATTTCGGTTTTGGTTTGAACAAAATCCTCTTATGGACCTATATCTTTAGATAAGAAACTGCAAACTTCGAATGCTTAGATAAGTTTTCAAAAGGTGGAGTCCAGTAATAGTTAAGGAGTTTTAATGGTCTCTACTAGTTTAAAGTATGAGTTTCAATGGTCAGACCGTTCCCCGGTGTTGGGAACAGTCTGATTATTTTACGATATGTACCACTCATAGCGTAACCTTACATTGCAGACAATATATAACTTGGAACAGTTATACGAAGTAATACATCACAACAGTGCGTGTGAGATGCAGAACTATCAAAAACTAAACAACAGTAATCGCCCTAGTTGCCTTTAAGAGGTAATAAAGACACGCGAGTTGTTCCAGAACTTAGACCTGAATTACGAATCGAATTTTTTACTTTAAAGCTTAAATAGCTGTCTAGATCTTGAATGGTTCGAACTGAACTTGGACGTCTAAATGAACAGTCCTCTGTATTTTTTAACTATTAAACTGAGCGGAAGTGTTTTAAACATTTTCCCATTTCAGCCAGTTAAAACGTAACCTTACTTTGGAGTAAAACGGTTAATACAGACTAATGCAAACTTGGAACAGTTATGCGAAGTATAAGTGAGACTCAACTTCGAACTGAATTGCGAGTTGAATTTTGTTTTTTTTTAAAGCTTAAACTGCTGTCAAGTTATTTAACGCTGCGAGCAGGACATCTAGATGTTGAACAGTCTACCATTCCACTTGTAATCTTTAACAATTTAACTGTGAAACTGAATCTCTTATAAAATCTATGAAAAGTATAAATATATGTTATAAAATCTATGAAAATAAGTTAGTTTTAAATTGTTTAAAGTTATGTATTCTATACTATTAATACTTACCCAACGAACGTCCCCTTAATTTTTCAGCCTCTATATAGTGGGCCTCCAGCCACATAGCCTGTAATTTGCCATACGAAGCTTTTGTAAATTTATGATTTTCAATTATTGCATAAAGTTCCCTGTAACAAAAGTAACAATAACAATATTAAAAAAAAAACTTTTATCGAAAAAAATTATATAGAAAACACTCCCCCCATAATTGTCAACCCTGGTGTTAATACAAATTACACCTTAAATAATAACTTCTCTACGGGGGTTTATACTACAAAATTTATAGATTTTTTATTATATTATTTTCCTTAATACACAAGAACTTTGTCTGGCTGTCAAGTTTAGTATTTAACTGTCAATGACAGTTTTTAGGGAAATATATAATAAATATAAATTATTATTTATTAAAAATTTTATGTGAAAAAGTTATTGAGTAAGAATTATTGTATTATTGCATATAATGAAAATAATACGAAATAACCCAGCAAATATTTGGTATTAAGAAAAGCCAAAAAAAATTGGAATAGAAATTTGGTTTTAAATCTTATAGCGTGAGATTTTTTCATTAACAATATAAAGGAAGGATATCAAGGTTAATAAACTGAAACCACTTTTAAGATAACATTTTTTTGTCCATATTTGAGAAGCCATAATAGCGCAAAGACATCGCCATTTATAAATTTTCTTATGTCATCTGAAAGACCAATCTGTCGACTTTAAAATAAACGTTTAATTTCTGTTATATCTTATTCCTACTTCTTGATAACCTCAAATATTAGCTAAAACAAGGGTTTTTCAAATTTTAGGTCTATATATTTGAAAAGGTTGTTATAATGGAAGAATTCTAATGAAAGTTTCGGAGCGCAGCTAAATTCTTTAGAAAAGTATATTTTGATTTTTGGGACATCCAAAGTCGGTTGGTCTTATTTTTCTTATTTTCAAATTTTCATTATTTTCAATTTATGATCGCGAACGAGTAAAATAATGATAATAGAACATTATATATGTATTATATCAACTAAAAGATCAATCTGTCGACTTTGAAATAAAAGTTAAATCTTTGTTATATCTTCTTACTTCTTTGAGAAATGTTAATCTCAAATATTAGCTAAAACAAGGGTTTTTCAAACTTAAGACTCTATATCTAAAAAGGTTGTTATAATGGAAGAATTCTGATGAAAGTTTCGGAGCGCAGCTAAATTCTTTAGAAAAGTAGACTTGGGTTTCTGTATCATCCGAAGTCGGTTGGTCTTATGTTATTCAGTTTCGTTCTTATTTACAGATTTTCATTATTTTCAATTTATGATCGCGAACGAGTAAAATAATGATAATATAACATTATATATGTATTATATCAACTGAAAGATTTATCTGTCGACTTTGAAATAAAAGTTAAATCCTTGTTATATCATCTTACTTCTTCGAGAAATTTTAATCTTAAATATTAGCTAAAACAATAGGTTTTCAAACTTTAGGACTCGATATCTGAAAAAGTTGATGTGATAGATCTTTAGAAAAGTTTAGCATCCGAGGTCGGATGGTCTTATTATCATAAGTTTCGTTCTTATTTACAGATTTTCATTATTTTCAATTTATGATCGTATCGGTTTGAAACTTATGGACACGATATCAGAGAAACTTGATTTGATGGGAGAATTTTGATGAAAACGCAGCTTAATTCTTCAGGAAAGTATACTTTGGTTTCCATATAATCAGAAGTTGGTTGGACTTATTTTGATCAGATTCGTTAATATTTACAGATTTTCATTATTTTCAATTTATTTTCGTATCGGTGTAAGAGTAAAATAATGAAAATAGAAAATTTTCCATATCGAAAGTTTTTTTATTAGACGAAAGCTCACTCTTTATCGAACGTCCCAAATTAGTTTCTGATTTTCTTAGCAAATTGCTTATTGGGTTGCATATTTTAAAATATTTAAATAAGTAATACCTTATTAAAAAACAACATGCTAAATTTAAATAGAAGTGTTTTTTTATTAATAATATGGGTAATCTAATACCCTACAAATTTTGGCATATTTCTACACAATTTTTTGATTCATTTAATTTTGGGATTAAATTTTTTTTAAGAAATTCCTTAGCAATGTAATATGATCACTTTAAATTTGCAAAAAAAAAAGTAAAGGAAAAAATCAACGGAAGCCTTTCCGTCATCATCACTAATAAATTTAAGAATCTTTGTTAAGCTTTTTTCATACTCCACTCGGTTGCCTGGTTAATCGATCTTCTCTTACTAGTCTGCCTTCCCTTGATTTTGTATTTTTTTTTCAACAACAATTTAATGAATTGTGAATTATTATAATGGATAATAATGCTTTAACAATGGACTTAATAAATGTATGCAAAATGTTAATTGGTAAATTAATCACATTGTTTATTAATTTAGTAAATTATTTCTTACTTTAGCTTTAACTCCATTAAAACTTTTAACCTTATCCTCTTTAGTAGTGATCATTTTTATTTTAAGTTTAGTTCTCTCTATTGTATTCTCATTATGCAAATTCCACTTAATGATTTAAGATCATTTCTGGGTTTTCTTTTCCTTTCCAGTTGTATTCATTTATTGGTATTTAAAGATCATATTACCTTAAGTTAAATAGTAAAGTAAATTTTAAAGTGATTATATTTTAATTGACAAGAATGGGAAATGTAATACTGGTTGTTTGTTTGGAGGAGGGGAATTTTAGCACGTTTTGGGGAAAACAACTGCCCTATTCAGTAAATTGTATATCATTCATATATGAGAGGTATAGAAGTAAAGTAAGCAATCTCCAAGTTTTAGATTTTCGACTTTTAACAATTTTGAAATGTTGATTTTCGATTTCTTCCGACTTTGTTCGTTTGACTTCTATCTCAATGTTAATGTTAGAAATATAACTGTGTCCGTCCGTAACAAGAAAATCGTTTTTTCCAAAAAAATTCGACTTGTATCTACAAAGTCAATTATTCGAACGTTTTCTTGCAAGAAAGTCAACTTTGTTAGGACAAAATAGTCGACTTTGACTCTTCAATTTGTTTAGACAAATAGATGATTGATCGGTTTCAAAACCCTACTTAGAACAAGCCGCTGCACTGTCTCATGAATTGGCCGCTAAAGAATCTAATCATATTTGTTGAAAGTGCCGGAAAGTTCTGGGATCATAGGAATCACAAGACTACGTGAATTGAGGAGAAAAAATTTAAGGGTTTACATTTGGAAACTTTATAATTTCTGGAACGATACGACTTTTTCTTTGATTCATTTTGTATCGCTAAACTAGTTCCATAATAGATTCTTTCGAGTTGGGAAGCTTTAGTTTCACAGCTATACATAGAGGGGAGAGATGTCGATGAACAACTTTTAGGTGTTTCTAGAACATATTCTGATTCTACGTATATATAATTAAAAAATTCTCGTATATATAATTAAAATACTGGTGACAAATTTTGATTAATTCATTATTATATCAAGAAATTATTATTTAGGTAGAAGAAACTTTGATGCTTTGAAAGTAATTCGTTAAAATCCGTTGCCTTGATATCGAAATCGAAGGTTTCATTCTCAGAAATAAATTTTTTCGAAATCTGAATCTTAAAACACTTGACTGATTTCTGATTTACGTTGGTATCTCCATAATTACACAGGCTAACAAAATTTGAAGAAAGTGGAAACCCAGAGACCAAGTTTACAAAGTATAAAACCGAATTTGACTTCTAAATTTTTCAATCAAATCAATTTATCGATATATCGCGTCGTAAAGTTTGAAAACTCCCAATTTTGGCCATATTCGAGCCATTATAATAGGGCGAAGACAGATTTATAAAGTTTTTTATATTAACTGAAAGTTTCGATTTAGGTTAAGATATCTCTAAGAGTGAAAAAGTTATAAAAGATGTTAAACCTTTATTTTAAAGTCAACTGATTGGACTTTCAGATGATGTAACAGATTTTACAAATAAAGGTATCTTTGCGAAGTTATAACGGCTCGAATATGATCACTATATCTCAAAAACCTAAGCTAAAGATGATATTCCGAATTCAGATCCGGTTTTTTGAGAAATGTATATTCTTTGGCCTCTGGGTTGAACATTTTAAAGACATCGGAAAGGTATTTCTAAAGTAGAGAGAGATGTTTGTTAACATCAGATCCGAAGAAATAGATATATTTCCATTACCGGGCCGTTGTGCGCTCCTTTACAAGAGCCTTTGGGAATTGAAATCATGACATTCGAACTGTTAAACTAGAACACTACCAACTAACCTACCGAAGACACCCAATATCTTTGTAAATTTCAAACTTTATCCCGTATCTATCTCAAGAATTAATAAGTTAATAGGCCCGGAGGCACCCGAAATCTTTATTAACTTCAAACTTTATCCCGTATCTATATCAAGAATTAAGAAATTAATGGTTTTATACCGGTAAATATATTGTCAGATTAACGGTATTAACTTCCGTCGGATCTTCAAAATAAAATTTTTACAGTTTTATAATTTGAATTCTAGAGTTAAGTCGTTTAAATGGCACCAGCGCACTTCTTTTTTAATTAAATATTTTGGCAAACGCCTTATTCAAGATGTTACGATCCTAATACAATTGAAAATAAAGTTATGCCTTCAGTTGTCGTAAGATATTACCGGCGGTTTGTTATCGGCCCTTTTAATATGAAATGAATATGAAATGTCTAAGTTTGTGTGGATTTAGTGCTGAAATGTGGAAGCAATTTAAATTTTAAAGGGATCCTTGCGGGTTAACAGAACAAAAATCATCGAATTTTATCTAGAACCGAATAACCACTTTCATGATCGAGTATAATATATAGTTTTTAGATGATATTTCGTTATCGTTAGATGGAAAGCTAATATATTTTATTTACTTCTGGAAATATGTATTTTCGATACGAAAGCTTATTCGACCCTGATGTAAAGTTTTAAGAATCTAATATCATTCCTTAACGTAAACTAAACCAACTAATTAACGCTTATTTTTGTATTTATCCGAAAGAGCAATACCATTTTTAATCTCAAAACACTTTCCCCGAATTTTTCCTTTCCAATTACCTGAAGTTTCCAACATGATAGGCGACAACGGCACGGGCCCTGAGCACAGCTTCACAATTTAATATTTCATGCATATTCGGCAAGGCCACTGGTAAACTCCAGAGAAATCTGGCTAAACGTTCAATATCACCAGAATCCTCCAATGTTTTGCATACAATCTCCACTTGAGCAGCGGAAAAGGCAAGCGTCGGTACAGCCAATATCGGGCTGGGTGCTATGATTTGATGTGCAGGTGCGGGTGAAAAGGTTTCTGTTGGAGGTTGTTGCTTGCCCTCCGTCGGTCCAACGGCCATTTTATTCGTTGAATCCACTGTGAACTAATTCGCATACTATACACGGAACACAGTTAATTGTGAGTGGCGTTTTTTTCGAAAACACGTTTCAAACTTAACAAAACACTACGAGGAGATTTTTTTTGTAAATTATTTTTAAATGAATTCTTTTTTTGTAAAATTTAAAAGCCCTACTTTTAAGAAAAAGGGGCTTTAGCTAAAGTTTAGTTGTTATCTTTTTTATTTTTAAGAATTTAGCGAATTGTTTGGGGTAAACATTTTATTTGTTAAAAATTTATAAATTTATATATTTTTTTTTTGGCCACAATTTAAGAGGTTTTATACACTTAGCTGGTTTTAACTGAACTAGCTAATGAGTTAAATACAGTAGCTGTTTAGTAGCATTATTTTTATAAATGTATGTTTGAATGTTTGAGGTTGTGTGTAGGTATAGGTATTTTTCACTGCTATCCAAATCACAGTCCATTAGTTATTAAATTTATACTCCAAAAGTGGTAATCACAAGATTCCTCATTTGGTTGCGGCTACTGCTACTGCTGCTGCTGCTGGTTTAACTAGCAATCAGTCATTTACTTTATATGTATATGATCAAGACGCGCCGTGATTTCTGTGCATTAGACGGGATATAATGACAAACTAGCTCCAAGTGGCTGAATACCAATGAGCAATACTACGAATTTGTTACTGATACTACTACGAAATGTATACACGAGTATGGGTAGGTATGGCAAGTCAGTCAGTAGTCAACCATTCCAGCCAGTCAACTAACCAACCAAACAAGTTAGGGAGTACATTTTTTGTATAGTTTTTGTTGTTATAAATCCACTTTTTTCTTTGTTTGGCGTAGCCAATTTCTACTCTTCTTCTTTTTTAAGGAATTTCTTATTGCACAAAACTCTTTTTCTTGATCAGCTTTTTATGGTTTAACACACACTTCCTCTTTTTAACACGAACGGGGATAAACGTTAGACTTATAGAAACTTATAAAAAAACCGTTAATATATATTTCACAAAACTATGGTTAGGTTAACCAAAATAAATATCAAATATCCAAAAAAAAAACCGTAAAGAAATCCGTAAACGAAACGATTACGACGGAACGTTTAAAAATCTAAATCTCAGACGACAACACAAGAAGAAAAGAAAAACACGTTTACACTGTTTAGATACGTTAAATAACAATGACGAGAAAAATTGTAGTATCATTGATGCGATGCGTTCAAATTTAAAATTAACTCATCACCGTTCCAATAGCAGATACAATCTGAGTGTATTTTGAAATGGATGCAAACGAAACCCAGTGTGTGTGCTCTCGATATACAACAAACAATAGAAAACAACACAAAAGAAGGCGTCAACATAAAACTCACTTCACTCTACTCATTTTCGATCTTACATCCATCCATCCATTCATACATTCATTTAGTTTAGCCAAGCATAGAAATATAGTCTTCTCTGTCTAACACGACGCCATTTGTAATTTATACATACCCTTCCAACAAAGTCTCGTTAACAAGCAGTATTATGTTCTCTACAATAAAAACAACAAGCAAGCAAGCAATCTTTCCTTATTTAACACACACTCTTCACCACCTCCACTGTTTTAACAACAGTATAATAAAACTATTTCTTGCTCTTTCTCTCCTTTTGCTTTAGTGTTATTTTTTTTCAACAACAACAACAATGACATATCATAACTGTATGTATGTACGTCTGTAAGTATGTTTCAGCTATTAAATATGATGATATGACTAACGACGACTGACGTTTTAAATACACATAAAGTTCGTCGTTTTGTGTATGATTTTGTTTGTAATTTCTTTTTCCTTTTTTTCAGTTTGAACTGTTAGAGCTTGTTTGACAGTCGTTTAGTCAGTGGCAACCAACAGTGCGACAGCTGAATTGTGTTTGCTTGTTGTATTTATTATATCCTTTTGTCGTTGTTGCTTTTGTTGTTGTTGTATTATTATTGCCACATTATGTTCAGCTGGGCGAGATCTATTTACTTTTCGTTTTGATAATTCATTAATGGATTACGAATACAACAGTTAAACAATATTAAACAGTGGGACTAGAGTATGATGTTTTTCAAAAGGGCTTTTAAGGATTATATTTGAGTTCGCGAACCCCCTGGGATATTGCTACGGATACCCATTTTTTGAACCATTCTATAAAATAAATAATAATAAAATTATACTTTTCTAAACAAAAAAATTATATTTAAACAACAGGGTCCTTAGTCTGCATTACATAGGACCATGTTGGGCACCATGTGCTCCCATAATTTTAGCAAGGGAGTAGTTTTGCGATTATGCTAATGTAATGCATGCATGGAATACGTGGTTCTCACCTAGGACATCATAATTTTAAATGAAATATGTTTTTTCCATATATTTGGATTAGTTTTGGATCTATCGTAGTTCTTTGAGGAGTATTCGTTACACGCGTGTGCGGTGTAGTCTAAATTTTTACAGGGTATATTGGAAAATGGATCTCTATATTTCATAAAAATATAAATAAATGTTCTTAAAGAGACTTTTCGCAGTGCTTCAAATTCCAGATAAAGAAATTGTTGTATTTAATTCATATGGGAAGTGCCACGCCCCCTAATGTTCACATGGATGTCAATGTTGTTCGTGCAAATTTTGAGGAGCTTCAATAGCTTCTCATATAAACAAACTTGTGCAGGTATTTATTTCAAACGTATGGTTCCTTGACCCACCAAATGTCCACATGGATGTTTAAGTTCTTTGTTAAAAATTTGAAGATTCTATCTGTAATGGTTTCCAAAATAAACAAATTTTAGTATTTAATCCCTAATGGGAGGTGCCACGCCTCCCCTATTGCTAGTCCGACCATTTTTTGCCCTAAATATTCATAATGATACTAAAGTGGCTCCGAATTACGGTTTATAGTAGATAAATTTTCACAGATATACTAATTTAAGATTTTCTTTATATGGAAGATGCCACACCCACTATAGCTACGCCGCCCATCTTGTACCTATATGTTTATATGAATGTCAAAGTTTTCAATATAAAATTTGTTGCAGTTTCTGAGATATGCAACTTTTAATACATATTTTGTGGCATCTCGTTCATTTGAAATTTTGATGTAAAAGATAGTCTATAGTTCCTACCAGATATTCGGGAAAATATGACCTCATAGAGAGATTTTAGTTTATTTCTATATTGGTATTTTTAAGACAATTATGAACTTTAAAGTCTCATATGGGTTCTTGGGTCATATGATTCAATGTTCTTTATTCACTTTTATAACGATTTGCATATACTTACGGTAGTTTTAACTGTATTCCGGGGCATTTTACGGTAGTTTAAAGTATATTCCGAGAGGTCTAGGACAAATCGTGGCGACATATTTTAATACCAAACAAACCTTATCAATAGAGATAAATTATGAAAAAATTTTACTTCTAGCTCCTAGAAAGACGAAAAAGGCTAGTTTGTTTTAGAATTTGATATGCAACCAGAATACAGTGGGTCTTGGAAATTGAAACCGTTCATACATCTTTAACCACCTCTAATACTTTTATCTAAGTAAATTAGTTGCTGTTTACATATAAATAAATATTATTATATTTTAACTTTTTTAAGCCCACTGTCAATGACAATGTATCGTTATTGTAGCAAAAATGTTTAATACACAACAGTAGTGTACAGATACGTACATATTCGTACACTAAAATTACACCGAACATCATTTGGATGTATGTGTATTGTATTTTGATATACGTAAGTGGTCGGGTATCGTTACCCTGTTTTGCCAGAAAATTTGACGTTGCCATTAAGGCGTTGCGCATTATACGGACCCCATATAATACTTACTATCATTCACCAGCCAGCCAGCCAGGCAGTCAAGTCAGTCAGCTATCCAGCCAACCAACCAACCATACAACAATCATCCATACATGAGTTTATTCATTATTGCAACCAAAAATAAGTGTAGTACAAGAGTACAATCAATACCATCATTTCATACCATGCCACACCATACTAAATATACATACGTACATACATACATATTATGAATGTATGTACATTCTATACGGCTCTTTATAAATGCGATACTTTAGGTTGCTCATACCGAAATATACATTCATTTAGGATTTGTATGTACAAAACGCCAGCCACTACTATTATTCGTAACTCGTACTTATTTTCACATTCTGTGCTATTGCTGTTGCTATTATTTCTGTTGTTGTTGTTGTTTTTTCCTTTCATTTCATTTTGCGTAATTGATGCAAGCAAAACCTTCCTTCCATGGCCTGGTAGAGATGAAGAGATTTTTCAAATATGTACTCCATACAATGAAAAAACCAGTAAAACTCATCATCGCCTTTAATACAATAGCAGCACACAGATACACACAACTACATACATACTCGTACTAATGTTAATAATGATTATTTTCGTTATTGTGTTGTTGCAACACTCTGTACTCAATGTATCGAATGAAAGAAAGAAAGAAGTCTGATCGTAGGGAGGGAGGGTATTTGTTGCAAAGAGGTTTTTTTTTCCTTTTTTTTTATTCATTATTATACCGTGTGTATACTTTTTTAATAATAAGTAGAAAAAAATACATTAAAATGGAAATGGTTGGTTGGCCAGTTGGTCGGATTGGTATAAATGAAAATGAATAAAAGTAAAAAAAAAAAAAAAATAGATGAGGAGTAAAGAGTACCACAAATCTGAACAAAACAGTGGTTGTGTGTGTACTTTTATATTGTGGATTTTTGAGTTGTTTATACATAATTAAAGTATGAATAAAAAAAAAAAAGATTTCGAAAAAAAGTAATAATATTAATTGTAATGAAAGGCATTACAAAGAAAGTAGCCAAAAGGAAATGTTTAAAATTTGTTTACATTATCTCAGATTAGAATTGTTAAAGTTTAAAGTAAGAGGCAATATCAGTAAATGTAGTATTTTTCCATAATTTCATACTTTCGAAATTAGAATGTTATTATTGTTATTACCAATACCTAAGAACTTTTTTAATTTAGTGATGGTGGCAATTTGAATTAGATGTGCAGATTTCGTTAAAAAAAAATTAGGAAATTGTTGTAGATATGTAGGTCAAATAATCTTTTTTGGCTTCGTTGTAAAAAAAAATATTTTCTTGAATTCAAAGTAAAACATTTGATCATTAGCAGCCGAAAAACTAGACACTAAATTAGCCCATAACCTAGTTAAAAATGTTGCCATAGACTAGTCCATAGACAAGTCCTTAGACTAATTTATAGAGTTATCAATAGACTAGACCATGGAATTGACCATACACTAGGCTATATACTAGTCCATATACTAGACTACCGACTAGTCCATTGACTAGATAAGTCCAATACACTAGCCAATAGATTGGTCAATAGATTAGTCCAATACAGTAGCCAATAGATTGGTCAATAGATTAGTCCATAGACGATTGAATAGATTTGACAATATACTAGTTTTGCGTGATCTGTACTAACACTCAAAGAATCCGAAAAGTATACTTTTTCAGAAAAAACTCGGTAATGACATGTACTTACATAACAACTTACTTTCCAATGACTACTACATATCATCTGCGTTAGTTCTAAGTTAAATAGATAGATAGATAGATAGATAGATAGATAGATAGATAGATAGATAGATAGATAGATAGATAGATAGATAGATAGATAGATAGATAGATAGATATAGATAGATAGAAGTCATTATTTCAACACGGTAATGTTATCTACAAGAACCTTCTGTAGCGGCGTAGAAGGTTCCTCTGAGACTAGTCGCCTTCGAAGAATCTTATCGTCCACTGTCCCATATTTCATTCAGAAACCATGTGGCAGTAGCTGAGAAACCTTAGAAGTTTTAATGCCCACTCACATTCCAGGCTGTCAATCCCCGGAAAACGGTTGATACAGGAATATCCATAAATGAAGATAGGATCAACTGGGCCATAAACAGCTACGACCCCTATAAGTCACCGGGTTCTGACGGTAGAATACCTGCGGATTTGCAATACAATGCTGTCCATCTCATACCTTGGCTAACACGGATATATAATGCCTGTCTAAAATGGACTTATATACCTTGGACCAAGTGCACAGTGGTCTTTATCCCCAAAGGAGGAAAGACATCTCACACGAAGTCAAAGGATTTTAGACCAATTAGTCTATCTTCCTTTCTTCTTAAAACGTTAGAAAGTATTATTGATCTACACACAGAAAAAAGTGGAATTCAAAATC